GTTTTGGGCTAATGAAATGCAGTGACGTGTAAGACGTCAACACATCAACCAGAGGCAACTTTTTGCACCTTGTGGAAAGGAAAGATTTCTTCACCTTCCTCTAGACTGGATATTCTAAGCGTTTGATTCATCAGTTAACTCAATGGAACAAATCCAGAATGTTAAACGTCTCAGCTTCTACTGAAGCTCTGATTGGCTAAAACCAGACATGGGAGACAGGTACCCCATCAGCTGGAACAATGGGAGGGACATGACTTATGTCTCTCCCTTTTGCAAACACTTTTTACAGGAGGCTTCCCCAATTGATACATGTAATTCAATTTGAACCTTACATGGGCTCAATCTGGCTTATGCCAGGTTAGTTCTTGTTAACGTCAAAGACAATAAAATGAACACAGTTTTTCTGACTATTTCCCATGATGGTTTCTGGATTATATACAAAGGAAGATAATGAAGGATGCAGTTCTTAAGTGTGGCTGCAGAACTGATCATCACAGGCTACCATACTTATAACATAATAGGTTTCACAATAATCTGCACTTTTATTCTGTATATCAATAGCAATTTCCTGAAAAGGTGTTAAACACAATCAAATACTCTTCTGGCTTTCCGAAGTTATTCTGTGGAGATTTTTCAGTTTAACTGCTGTATTTTCATGGGAATTACAGTACATCGTGAGAAACCAAGAGAAAAAAAAAACATCATCCTTTACATAAGATATAAGCATCAAAGGATCATACTACAGATAATCATCTATGTACAGTATGGCCCATCCACTTGGCCGAGTAATTCTCTGTATTTCTGAGGCAAAGGCCCTTAAGGGGCAAAAAATGAGAGATTGCTTCAAAGTCAACTACTATAATCAACTAAAAGAGCAAAAAGCTTGACTTCCTTTACCGGTTAATATAAATTGATTACAAATCTCTGTCAAAGTCCTTATTTTAGTCTTAGTTTGGTGAATCATTGCATGCTCCTGTAAACGTAACAACTCACAACAGAGGGACCGAGAATTAAGACAAGACAGACAGTAGGACAACTTCAAAAGCGTTTATTAAAACATTGATTGTTTGCAAATCTTCAGCTCTGGTAAGAGAAAATACAGTTTAGTCACCACGACCATGTTGAAACCAGCCAGTCAGCTGACAAAACGCAGCGCTTGCCACACAGAGAGTTCCAAACGCAGAAGGCTAGAAGGACACTGAGCTGACAGGATATCAGACCCAAGCAGATGACAGAAGAATGCAGGATAATGCTGAGGGCAAAGTCAGGAGGCATATCCAGGTTCAGTCCACAGTAGAATCCGACAGAATCCGAAAATAGATCAGGCATACAGATCAGACAGGGGCAGGTAGGCTCAAAGCTCCGAATACAGAAACAGGTCAGGATCAGGCAATCAGAACAATATTAGAAATGCTAGAGAGCTCTCAACACCAAAGGCTCAAAAATAATCTGGCACTGATGGCTGGGACCAAGGAGTTTAAATAGAAGCAGGAGCAGGTGGATCAGATAAGTAGTGATGAGAAACAGGACAGAGCTAGACAGGTGAAATGAGCAATTAAGCCAGTCATCAGCACCAAGATCATGACATTAAAGGTGCATAGTCACGTTATATGACTACACAAAGAGGACCACAATCCAGTTTAGCGTGAGAATAAGGTTACATACACCAAGAATCCATATATAGTGTTATATAGTGCTTATAGTGTTTTGTTAGCCCTTTTTTAACCTAAATAGAATTTCACAATGATGAACAGTTATAAATAGAGGTCTTAGATATTTCTTTATTATTTTCACACTTCGCTTTGAGGTGCTACCTGTCTTGGCTGCTGTAGGCTACTTCCCTGTTTATCCCCTGCAAGCATGCTTGATTTTTTTTAACAATCCAAGCGGAAAAAAAGCATAAATACAAAAATGACATATCAGGAGCACGCTCTATAGTGATAAGTTGAAATGTATTGTACACAAGCATGTGAAAAGAGGAAGAGCACTGCAGTCTACTGCGGCAAGTCACAGAACTTGCATATCCTGTCTGTCTGTGATTAACTAAATTATTAACTGAATTACACTGTACTGTGTGTAATTGAGTCTAAATATGACAATATAATTAAATAATAAAAATATGCATGATTTATCTAAGTTAAATTTATTATTGTGCATATGATTAGATTAAGCTGATTGATCCTTCAAGTAAGATTTGTGGTCATACGGTGCTTGAGATTGATAAATAAATTAAACTCAGCTGTACAAAACCAAAATGAATGGTGCTAAAATAAAAGGTTTTAAATCTGTCAAACTGCCTTTGTTTGATGGATTTAAGGTGTTTCTTTTATTTCTTATAGAAGTATAAACTTGTTTCTGAAAAGATTTCTAAAGTAATAATGCCAATAATACATTTTATTTATAATGCACTTTACATTTTTATTTATAATGCAATTTACATTTCAAATAAAATCTCAGCCCAGCCCCACTGCCAGTCTGGGTCTCTAAGCAACACCTTGACCCCACACTGCTCCCCAGGCACCACACAAAGGCGTCCCACTCCTACACAAGGGGATGGGTTAAATGCAGAAGTAAATTTCTCCAATGTGAGATCAATAAAGGTCAATTTAAAAGGTAAAAACAGTCTATATACTTCCTGACATAGTGACTATTAAAAAGGCATACTTTCAATCTCATCTGCAGGAACTTTCTTAAACTATGTGTATTTACCCTTAATATGAGTAGATAAATTGGATGATTTGCCAATGGAATTAGTATTTTTACTCTTAAAATAAGATAATTTGATAATATCCACTTGAAATAAGACAATGCAATAGTTTTTTCTTATTTTAAATTTAAATTGTCTTGTTCCATTTCTCACCTCCTCAGTTCAAGAAAAAATGCTCTAATTTTAAGAAAAAAATACTTATTTAGATTTATTTTATTGCAGTGTAAACTCTGTGTGATAATCTTATGCACCTTCATATTTTCGGGTTTGTGTTATGGAGGGCTTCATTCGTTTGCTACCTTTAAATTATATGACTAGCATCATCCATGTGTGTTTCATTTGAACAACGAAATGTGGAAGGTTACGAGCAATCTGGAATTGGCACGGCAGTCTGAGGTTCCTTTTTTACACCACAACAGAGCTCTTAATGTTGACCTTATAAAAGGTCAAGTAACAGGAGGAACGAGAGCAAGGGGCTATAATTAGACAATTTTGGATGCATCCATAGTTGTTTTAGAGTGTCATGCAGGACTCAGCTGATGGTTTGTGGGCCTTAAAAAAGTGCAGCAGACTTGAACTTACTGCGGATCCCGACATTTGAATTGAGAAAGTTTTCTGGAGAAGTGGCGAAACGTCTTCAAACTTTGGAAACCAAGCTCAGTGGATTACAGAAGCAGGAATTAATTCTTTATGTTGATATTGGTGCAGCATACTCAGGGGGATTTAACGCTTGTTCTTCCCTTAAGAGCCACTCTAATTCTTCATTATAGGTTACACTGAACTGCTTTGATAAACAAACAATAAATCATGATCTAGAATTAATCAGGCACTTGACAACATGAGTGATGAAAGCAGCAGCCAAACTATAAAACCGTCTTAAAAAGTCCTACAGAGAATCCAAAGTAAAAAATGTTTACCCAGCATTTTAATTAGCGTTGCGCCAATGCCATTTTTTGGCCTCGATAGCAATACCCAGTACCTGGCTGCGCAGTATCAGCCGACACCAATACCACACCACTACCATCTGTTTGAAATTGATCTGTGTGTATATATGAAGAACTGCATACTATAATTGCCCACATGGCTTTGTCAAGCTGCTGTCTACCTTTGGAAAGCAGGAAAAGACTAATACAAAGTGAATCCAGTAGAGCTTTTTATTGCCTACCTGGAATGGGTGACAATATTTGAATAAACTTTTGACTCTCAAAATGGTATGGGTGCCCTATTTGTTGATACTCGCCGATACCAATACCACCATTTTAGTGCTGGATCGGGGCCCTGCCCAATACCTGTATCAGTATTGGTGCAACACAAATTTTAATGCACAAATTATATTTTAGACTTACTGTTTATGCTTATATTCTAATATGCATACATTTAACTTAAAGAGCAACTACCATTTTAGCGCATTAGTTTCCTCACACCCAAAAAGGGGGTTCAATAACCTCCTCTTCAAGAGGCCAAAATACCTCCATGCAAACTTGAAGACAGAAGTAAAGACCAACGCTAATGAGGAGAAATATTTGCCAAAAAACTTTTAATATAAAATAATTCAATATGAAATCAAAGCAAGTCTATTTATTGTAGTTTGATTTTCCAGAAAATCATAAGTCCTGAAACTATTTCACATCTCTAGTATATAAACTGTGTTCAACTTTTTGTCCCTTTGGAACATAAGCTTAGTGTTAATTACATACTTGTATAACAATGTATGTAATACAAGTATGTATTTGTATTTTACATTTTTTCTTCTTCTGATTGCTCATTTCATAATTGTGTGTTAGCCAGGAGTGACTGTAACAACAACATTTCTTGAGAGCAGTAACTTATCTAATAATACACATAGGATCCCCATTCTTTGGCAAGTAGGTACCTTAGCTTTAACTCTTATTTTAAGAATAGCTGCATAGGTTACAGTTTTCTTTTTTTAACTTTTTTTTTTTTTTTAACAGTTATAAAATAGAAAATGTCCATCAAGGGAGAGATCAGTGATGTTCTCCAATAAGTTTCCATTTTCAGCATCTGGTGATAATTAAATTGGGGTTTGGCTTGTGCGGTATTAGTAAAAATTGTAGAATTAAAACACATGTCAACTCCTGCTAGCACTAATGGACATTATGTTAAGACACAGCATTTATTTGGACAAGCTGGTCAAAGAAAAGCACTGTCATGGGTTTGCCTTCACTTACTATTTTATTTTGAAATCAACATACTTCCGGTTCTAATTTTATTTCCTCCGCCTGACTTGAATAAAATTTAGGAGGGGAGGACACGCTCCACACTGAAAGCTGCTCAGTACGCAACCAAGGAGGCGAGCTGCGCGGGGCGAGAACAACTTGATGCAACATATCCACGGACGCGGAGAGACACGGCAACAATACGCGTGGAACCGAACATGCATGAAGAAAAACGCTCCAATTAAACACAGATTTTCTTCAGCATTTTAATGAATCCCGGCGGGGCTTGGAGTTCTGTTACATTGCTGGACAAGATTTACGCACCGAGCGCACTTTCAATGTAAAGCCGCGTTTTACGCGCAGGAATGAGAGATTCCACACGTGTTCAGAAATCTGCATTATTCTCTCTCTAAAATGCAATTAAGGAGCAAGTTCTTAAAAACTGATCATCAGTATGATGGCGTTTTTGCATGGAGAAAAAACGGACTAAACACTGTGCCATATGTTGACAAATGCTTTCAGACTGGGGCTGGCTTTTTGGAGCAATCTCTGTTAAACTGAACTTGGATATTGAAGGTATTGACTGTACATTGGCTGGAACACCTGCGCTCTGGACTCACTGACGGAAACCCCTGAGTGAGTTTTCAAAACAACGTCTCATTTCGGACGTCTGTCCTCTGTGTGAGTCACCGTGAGCAAACATTTGGACAAGCAACACTTATTGACTGCGGTGACACGTTTTGGTGAGGGGATATTTAACAGTGCGTGCTTTGCGCCGGTGGCCACAGCGCTGCGCTCCTCGGTGCGGCTGCGGGATTGGACCCCGTGGTGCTAAATGCCCAGCCGGACCCCTGCGGCTCCTCAGGCTGGGCGGAAACATGAAGTCCTGGGTCCTGCTGCTGGCTGCGCTCTTATCGGCCCGTCTGAGGCTCGGTAACGCTGAGGTAAGACCTGAACACAGATGACCTCTAATCGGTGGGGAGACAGCTGGAAACAGACAGGGCCATAGGAAATTATCTGCCAGTATCTTAAGTTAAGTGTGTTAAAGATGGAGAAAGGTATTTGCATTAATACCTTCTGTGTTTTCATTATTTTTATGAAAAAGATCTAAATTTCTGACATAAAATTTTCCCTTTTTTATTTTCTACTTATATGTTTTTTATTAGACATAAAGGTTGAGGTCATGACTTTGAACTAATTCTGCACTAAATATTCAGAATATTCAGACCTGGAAATCTTCACATTTAGTCTAAAATATTTTACAGAGGCAGAACTCAATGTGAAACAGCAGGGGCTCATTAGAAGTTTTTACATTTCTACACAGTCTAATCTGATAGTATATGTATGTATCTTATACATATAAGACAGATCCAATAAAGGGGCCCATAAGGGTTGGAATTATTAAGAATACAGGAGCAGCCAAAAGTAGGAGTGTCCAAACGTCACATAAAGGTCCCCAAGTTGATTCCCCCTATAAAGGGTCTATTTTGGAAAGAAGTCTTGCACAATTTTGGTGGATTGCAATATCAGTTTATGACAGTTAGACTTGTACTCTGTCCTTTTTGTCCATTTATATATATATTCATGTATATATATGCAACTGAAGTTGCATATATATATATATATATATATGCAACTGAAGATCTTTTGTGTGCAGGGAGGATTTTCACTGAAAGATGGAGGGCAATGGTGAGATAGGATCACACTTCTGTGCAGCAGAGTTCAAACGACGATGCCGAAGCTGAAAATTTACTTTTACCATTGCAAGTCGTTACTTGCAATAGTAAAATGTTTCTCGGAATAGGTTCCATTAGAACCTTTTGTACACTTACTTTGTTGGCATTCACTCCAAAACAAAACTCTGTAAATACAAACACAAAAAGCTGCACATCCACAAAACTCAGTTGTCATTAGCTGACAAAATTAAGCTGCATTCTTACTTTGATAAGAGGCAATCATGTCTCTTAATATGTTCTGATTACTGATATCACTTAAGCACTTAAGATAGTCTACAATGCGCTAACATATCCATATTTCCTCTTTTGCATTGATTATCTGTTAATATATACTTTCATCATTGCAGGAAGTGCTTGTAACAAGATATGATTGATCAGCTAATTATCTTTTAGTTTCATTTTTCACAGATTCCAACATTTATTCAGTGACTCTAACACATAAAGAAGAAGAGGATGGTTTTGAAAACAAAAAAAGATATGTTCCTAACCTTTTTAAAACAATCTGGTCGATGGGTTTATAAAGTAGTGGACTTTTTTTTAGCCCTCAATGGCATTAAAAAATGAATAAATAAAGGTTGTGATCTAGTCTAACAATTCCAGACATAAACTGGATTAATGAGCATATTTCTACTCATAAATGGAAAAAAAAAATGTTTTTAATTTGTAAGTAAATCATTAGCATGCCTGATCTGATGCATTTATGGCAGAAGTGGTCCTACTTCCGGTTTAGTTCTTTTTTTTTTTTTACTCTAAATAGACTCCACGTATATCCACTCATTATTCAGCAAGTTTACAGCATTAGGACTTGCTTACTGTCACCGTAGAACATACCTGGAAAGTTAATATGGTTTTAAGAGCCAGAGAGCATCATCTCTCTGCTTCTGTGCATAATCCTGTAACACATTGCTGCCTTTACAATGTTTTGGCAAACAAAAGCAAAGCATGTCTACACATGTGCTAAATATCATACTTTTAAAATCCACTTCAATGTTGCTAGAGTTACACCCATCAAAATATTCACAGCTCATGTTGCAACTCAGTTTATCCTCATTATCTTCTGAAAGAAAGAAAAATAACAACTGATTGGTGACTTTTAAACACTTTGTTTTGTCATGATTGTCTCCACACACAAGCTGGCTGCCGCCTGTTTGCTTGATCCATTTTACATAAGAACAACAACTAATCTGCCAGGGATTTCATGGAGTTTATGCAGTGTGTGTGTATTTCTGTGTTCTTGCATCTGGATGCATGTTCGAGGGTGTATGTGAACATGTTAGATTGACAAATGTGCACATGTTTATGTGTGTGTGTGTGTGTGTGTGTATGTGTCAGGGGTTAGGCCTGCAAACAGCAGATAGAAATGTGCAGTGGCTCCTAACAGCATGTATTTTTTAGGGTCCATATGGTGCCATTTTTAGGGAAAATACTGTCTGCATTAGGTAAACGTTTTGAGTAAGATGAGTTATCTTTGATTAAAAGAAATGAAGTTTTGGATGATTATTGATGGTGAAAATTCAATAAGCTTTTATCAAAAGCTGAATAATTAGATATGTCATGTTTTACCAGATTTTGTACAACGGATTCAGTTTAAAATGAACCTAAGATTATTGCAAAATGTGTCAAAGTGACTTAATAGCTTGAAGGCTTTTAATTTGAAAATTCTACACGTAGAACATTTTAATCATAACGGCTGGTCTCAAAACATGCGTTTGTGTGTGTGTATATATATATATGTATATATATAAATTCAAGGCAGCTGCCACCAAACTGTAGGTGTCATTACTAAGATATACAAATGTCAACGTTTGCATAGCAACATAAAGATAGTACCCTGAAGGTCATACTAATATTTTTTATTTGCTAAAAGATTTTGGATTTAGTTATTCTTGTCATTACTCAGAACTGAGAGGCAGACAGTGGGATGATTAAATTAGTTGTTTATTTAAAACACGGATCTGCGATTCTGTAGTAGCAGAGCGTCTAAAGCAGAAATTTCTGCAGGAGAGAAACAAAGGATAGTGACCACGATAATTTGATGGAGGATTATTGTAAATGTGTGAGTCACTAACCTGGTTTTAGAGTTCAATCCATGGCCTGAGAACGAGGAAGGATCTAGCTGGTGGGTTACCCACAAGATGCGGTGGGCGCCGCCCAGACTGTTCCAGATGCTGAAGCCTGGGAAAACATGCAGGAGTACGAAGCCAATTAAGCAAACCGATTAGAACAGGAACAGGCAGGCTCAGAGGTCCAGGAGTCCAAAGCCAAGTCAGGCACAGATCAGGACAGCAACAGGCAGGCTCAGTGGTTGAGAGTCAGAGCAGGTGAGGATCAGGAAATCAGAAACACCAAGGAACTCTAAAAACACTCTCACCACCCGCTAGAGAGAACAAGATAATTAGGCCCTGATAACTGGAAGCAAGCACCTTAAATAGAGGCATGAGCAGGTGGGTCAGATGAGTGGCGATGAGCAACCGGGCAGAGTTAGACAGGTGAATGAAATGAGCAATTAAGCCAGTCGTGAGTTCCAAGATCATGACAATTCTATAAACTGTTTTTAAGACTATGGAATCAAACTGTAAACTGTTATATCAAAATAAAACGCTCCTATTTGTGGAAATCTTGGCGATAATATGCAGTAGGGCTGAAACTATTTATTGGATTAATCGCGATTAATAGACATTGATTGAAGCAACCCCATTAGAGCAGTACTTGTATTTAGATTCATAAAATAAACTTTTTGCATTTAAGATAAAAAAAACACATTTTCATCTGTCTGTATGCTCTATCCAGAACTCCTCAAGTGGAAAAGTTTTAGCTTCACCTGGTTCAATTTCGTTAAATGTATTTAAGGAACCTTTGCCTATCCAATTATTAATCAATTAATTAAAATAATACACCACAGATTAATCTATTAGCAAAATAATTGTTAGTTGCAGCCCTTATATACAGTGTTTTTACAATTATCTCAATTTCCCTGATAGTTTCTCCATTTGCCAACACATATCGTCCTCGTCATTCGCAGGTTGTGCATGGAGAACCAATCCATCCAGCTGGACACATATGTTGCTGGTACAAAGAGTGTGAATGTAGCACATTTACAATATAATGCTCAACTGAAAATCCCATACATGTGGTGCTTTGTAATAGAAATCTGTAACATGCAGAGATGTTGAAGTGATGATTGTGATTTAATTATAGGTACATTTTCAGCAGCTTTAAAATAAAGGCGGGGCTTTGGGTCAGGAATTTGTTAGACCGTTTTTTTCACCTTTGTTGCCAATTTATTCTAATATACTTTAAAATTTTGGTTTTATATATTATTGATTGATTACTGCTCATGCAAGCAGAAAGAAATATTTCTTATCCAATGTATTTTAACAGTGAACTGGCTAACTTCAGTAAAAGTACTTAAATGCTTTAAAAGTTAACTTTTTCTTTTAATTTGAATTTGTCAATTTCAACCAGCTGACTCTCATAACAAGATAGATGAAGTTCTCTGAGTAAAACAAAATAATTATAATTGTAATTAAGCATAAGTAGCTCAATGACCAGCACCCTTAGTAGGCACATAAAATTACATAATACTGTTAATGGAAAATATAATTTTAGTAGGAAAAAGATTAGTTTGCATAAATTAACATATTTCTTGTTATCCTGATAAACTTGGAATAAAATTTTCATTTCAGGTTTTTTGTTTACTAAAGAAATGACAGAAAGCAGCTGTGGATGAACACCTTTTAGTGTCCAGCTAGTGGGTGACAGCTGTCTTTGAAGGCACAAAGAGAAGAAGAATGTCACCTTGTTTACCCATGAAGTCAGAGCTCATTGTTTTTTTTTTTTTCAGCTCCTCTTTTCTCATTTACTCAGTGCTCTCCTTTGAGCTCCTTTCTTTTTCGGGCCTTCCATCCATCACCCACACCCTCATCTCTTCAGCCAGGGGTGGGACGCAGCATGCGTAGGGGGTGTCTGTTTGCCCTGCTTGCTGCTGTGTGTGATTAAAAAAGTACCCACTGAGCCCAGTGGGTCTTATTTTGTTTCTGTAGTATAGAGTTGGCGGCCCGCCACCAATTTGATAAAAGAAGGCATGTGGCATTGCATCCCAGTGTGATGTGACTCAACCATTACATTGATTCTCAGCTTTTGTTTGTGCTTGCCTTTTCTTGAGATGTTTTATCCTCTGTTTGACAGTGTGTGTGCGTGCTAGCTGTCTGCTGGCCCCTTAATTACATTCCATTACACTTCACCTTTCTCCCTAAACATTCCTCACAACCTTGCTGCCCTCAGGGCTTCCTCCAAGACCAGCGTAGTGTGCATTTAGAAGTAGGTGTATGACCCATATGTACATCATAACATCCTAACAGACGGCCTTTTTGACCTACAGTGTCATCCCGACACTCATGTAGGGCTATGAGCAGAACTGGCTGTACGTTTCTACTTTGCAAATGTGTGTGTTGGATGAAAGCAAAGGGAAAAGGTGTTCCTCTAGAATCACTGTTATTTGTCCAAATCACGTTCTTATTTTAAACCAGTGGTTTGTTATTTGTCCATGCGAGAAACTATTTCCTGAATGTGTGTTCTGCTCTCATTTGAATGGATGTGTGTACGATGTGTGCAGGGACTGTAATAATGGCCGGTTATAGAGGGGAAAAGTGTCTCTTTGTAAGTGTGAATGTGTGTTTATATGCGTGTGGAAGGCTGCCTTGACAAATTGGGCGGACAGTGGTTAAGCATCTGTATGTAAAGGACAAAAACGAGGAGTGTGTGGGTGGGGGGATGTATGTGTGTGTGTTTGCTTAAGTGGGTCAGCCAATGGCTCATGAAAGTCATCCAGGTGTCCTGAGCCATCACCGCCCACTAAGCAGACAGAAAGCAGAGGGAGAAGAAAGCTGGGTGCAGGAAAAGGGAAAAAAAAAAACATGAAATGAATTCAAATACTCAAGGTCAGACACCATAGAAGATAAAGTGGAGTACTTTGAGCTAGGACGTCCAAAGATAGAAATTATGATTAAAACAAGACTTGGATTCCTGTTCTTGCTGTTCTTTGCATAAATTACTACCAAATTTGTAAGCCTCTTGAGCTTTTTTAGATTTTTATAAAGTCCCTTTTAAATGAAGTGGAGGAAGCTACATTTATATGGCAGCTGGTTAAAATGCTAAGTTCTACTGGGCTTGGCAATAGTTCCTAGTGAAACAGTTTAAAGCAGTGGTGTTATAGACCCAATTTACCAGGGGGGCCAGGGTGGGGCCACTTTTTTCTCATTGGGGAAAATTACAAAAGAATAATACAAAAAAAACAAAAAAAAAACACTCAAACAAAACATGGAGATAGTGGATCGCTTTGAATAATGAGTCAACCACATGGCAAAGATCGCAGACACTTATTCTAGAGGATGAAAACTGTGATCCCATCTTAATACAGCTGACGCTTTAATTGAGGTATCTTATATCTTAATGATTTTTAAAGTACAGCTTACCTTAGGTTAAATATAACATTCCAAAAATAAAGTGTTATAAGTATTCAGTATAGTAAAATAAATAGGTATTCAAACCTCTGCCAGAGGTTATTGATAGCAATTGTATATATTATAGTTGTTGGAAATACTAGCAAGATTTTTTTTCATTTTCACCACATTTTAATTTAACATGTATATGGTATAAGATTGAATTTTTTTAGTTTTTTTTTTGTTATTGTTGTTAATCTTAATGCTTTTAGTTATTGACCTGATCTTGAATGAGATGTTTCTTTATTTTGTCACCAGAAAAGGCAAAGTGATCCCAGATGATAATGCGTTTTCTTTGGTGTTCATCAGCTACTTAGTCTAAAGGCAGGACATCCTACTGCCCCCTCCACTGTTTTAAAGCACTCACCTAAAGTTAGTGTTCAGAGTGGGCAGCATGGTTGCCTTGCAGTAAGAAGGTCCTGGGTTCAATTCCTGGCCCAGGGTCTTTCTGAATGAATTTTTCTTGTTCTCGCTGTGCATGCGTAGGTTCTCTCCAGGTACCCCGGCTTCCTCCCACTTTTAAAAAACATGACTGTTAGGTTGGTTTCTCTAAATTGTCCTTAGGTGTGTATCCGTGTTTTTGTCTGTGTTGCCCTGTGCCCTGAAAAGAGTAATACTAACAAGTATTGGTAAAAGGAAAAACCCTTACATTTTACCTGTCCATCTCAGAATATTTAGTTTTATTAAACAAAAAAGAAGGTTTTTGTTGATAAAATCTATTTTACTTCATTTTGAGGTACTGAAGTTGGTTCCACAAATCAAAACACTGTCTGACGTCTTTGTAGAATTGCAATCAGCAGTTTTCACCTGTTTTAGAGCATATAATAATTTTTAATTGGGACTAGTTTCGTAGCCTAATAGTAATTGTAGTAATCACGGTTCATTCTAGTGTGAATAAAATCTAAATTTCACACTCCAAGTACACACGCACACATACGGACTAGAAAAAAGACAGTCAGGAAGAGAGAAGATAGAACTTAAGACGAAACAACCGATAAGAGTGGAGTTAAACAGCGTAGCAGTGTTACTGAAGGGATAGGAAAGACTGGGTATAACACCGCCTCGTTTGAGTGCCTGCCCGGTGCATAACGAGGCAGCAAAGCTGCGAGAGGTTTAGAAGCAACTGTTGCAGCAACGCTGTATTGTAAATGTTACTCATATTGCATTATTGGTAGGGAATAGTATGTCCCTATTGGTCCCTATGCAAACCTACACCCATGGTCCATGATATACCCTGCCGCTCGCCCATAAACTGCCTGAGATTGGCACCGGCTCCATGCAACCCTGATGGAATAATTGGGAGAAGGTGGATGGATGGATGTTTTATAGTTTTAGGACATTTTTTCTAAACTTTTCCATATTAACAGTCAATGTGTAAATTAGATTTAAAACTGCTATAACTGTTACAAACAAGGGTTGCATCTATCTAGATACCATCAACAGGGAGGTGGATGTTGGGAGAAGTTTAAAGAAAAATCTCACATTAGTGTACTTTGTGAGGTAATAAAACTACAACAAAAGGTAGTTAATGGCGGACTATTACATATATTTGTACCTTGGATGGCAGTAACTGTGGAGGCTCAGGAAAGCCAAGGCATAAGTCTAACTGTGCTCATTATAAAATTAGGTATATTTATCAGATTTATATATTTTTTAAAGTAGCTGAGATTTTACTTCAAAGCTCCTTATTAATAAACAGTTTTTCCCCTCCTTCTTTTAGCAATCTTTTTTATTTTGCGGACCAAAAAAGCAGCTGCTGGTTTTACAGCTGCAGCTGTACTTTATGTTTCACTGATGGTTTCATTCAGTTCTATTCAACAACATTTCGCCTCAGAGCCAGTGGAAATATGAATACTGGGAATCTAGATGGCTTGTGTAATACAAAGAAATGATGGTAAATTTAACTTAGTGTACAAGATATGATCTGTATTTATCTTTCAAAAGAATGTGATGGTTGTTCATGTTGGTAAATCTGGTGTGCAAAAAGCAGCACATTAGGATCTCTTCAGCAGTATATGTTCAATTCAACTGAGAATGGAGCGTTCATTAAAATTTTGAATTTTTAGTGAATAACTTTAGAAATGCATAGGGAGAAAAACTTGAGAGCTCTAAAGAACCCATCATTCTTCTCACAGTTATCTTATCACGGTTCAAATGCCTGGCACTCCCTTAAGTTGTTTTGGCATGTTTTTGAAATGTTCCTGTATCAAATGTTTCTCTTAGATGGTATCAACTAACAGCCAACCAAAACAGAACGCATCAAAGAATATCCTCTGCTATCTGCCTCTGATCTCAATTGTGGAACCACAAGTTTTTCTTTGAACATGACAATCTTGGAGTTTTGAATTCTCATTAGATCCGAGTCCATCTCTGTACCTAAATTATGAATGACTAAATACATTTTTAGAAAGGTTTACTGTTCTGATTTGTGACTCTCAAAATATGTTTAGTTTGCAGCTAGTATGCAAAGATGGTAATTAAAAGAAAAAGTAATATATCCAAAAATTGTAAATGCAGAGAGAGAGGGAGAGCATGCTTATAAGGAGGCTAATTTCCTGTGTGAAAGAGGAAGAAACAGGAGGTCTTGTGGGTAAACAGACAGGGAGAGAGTGAGGAAAGCAGCAAACACCAATCAAAACCAGCATTTTCTTTAAAACAGGAAGTGCAACTGGAGCAGGTTTTGACTGAGATCAAATAGAGATACTGAGCCTATAAACTATGGGGACCATAGTTCTTCTGTTTTGTCCTTAAGTCTTCCTTTGCTTCTTTTAGTTTTGCTCCTAGTTTAACAATAATGATGTCATTCACAAAGTTGTTCCTTTAAATTCGATTTTTATTTATACCATAATAGAAATAGTTACCCTGAAAACAGTTTGATTGCCTAATTAGCCACCCTTTGTCAACATGTTGGAACTCAACATAGAGCTGAACAGAAAAGTATGGCTAACATTCTTAGCAATAAGCTCAACCAACCACAAACATACTTTGTTTATATATATTTATATATATATATATATATAAGTGTGAAACAACTGAAACTATGTCTTATATTTTGGGTTCTTTAGAGTAGCCAGCTTTTGATTTTTTGGACTGACTGACCTTCATTTCTTAAAGTAATGATGGCCACTCATCGAACGCAGACTCAAAATATGGACATTGTGACTGATCTGGTTCATTGTGATCTCCAACCTATAACCTATGTTAAGATAAATATTTGTTTCTAAACATCTCACTGGATATCTTGTCTCCACAGGGCGATCCACTCCCTCAGTCACTGGTCAACCTTGTGTGGAACTCTCCCATCTCCTCAGTGGAAGACCTAAAGCTGCTGCTGCAGCAGGAGGCCAGTGCAATAGGTACTAACAGCCAGCCCACACAACTTTCACACACTCACAAACATTAATTAGGTAGACAGGGAGGAGGTAGACTTGGGGGGTTATCCACAGCCACGGATGAAGAGAAATGCACCGTAGGAGAGTGTCAGCATACATACCTAGCATCATAATTTTTTAGCAAGTTATTGGAAAGGTCTTAAGAGAGCATAGTCAGGATTTCCATTTTACAAACTAAAAGACGGAGAAGCAAAAGGCTTCCATCACCAGGTCAATACATAATCCCACTGTTCTGAATTCCTCTAAAGGTTCGAATTATGGATGTGTGTATACAGTGTGCGTCACAGAAAGAATGTAACCATCACTGTCTAAACAAAACCTACACACATGTTGATCGGCAAACAATTTTAAAATTAAACCACAGAGGAACCAAGTCACACATTACATGTATTAATAGACAGGACTTTGATCTCATATCATAGCACATAAATAACACAGTGACATCACAGCCTCCAGAGAAATTAACAAGCAGAGAGAAGGATGCTTGGAAACAGGACATGAGAATGTGACTCATAACCTTTTTGATTTAAAATAGACCTTTCTTCATACAGGGGCTAATACTACTTTTTGTATGATTATTTCTTATTTACAACATTAACTAACCTTATATGTTTATGGCCTGATTACATTTATTTGTCTATAAAATTATCTAGATAGATAGATAGATGGATAGATGTGAATCTACTTTCAGTGTATTATACACTTTTATTGATAGCAGGAGGAAGTAAAATGGCCTTATTTGCCTTAACCACTAGTTAAGCAAACCCTTATCTAACATGTATTAGGGTTAACTAATAAAATCATCTGATAGATCCTCAATTTTCTTCATAACAATAGATGATTGATAAAAATGATTGAAGTAGTTGACTTTTTAAACTTTATTTGCCTTTAGTTGTACTTTGTTTACTTAACTTCCTATATTTACTAACACTATCACTATCAAGTGTTACATTTTAACATATTTACATGCTAGCTGCTAAAAGCTCAGTCTCTGTTAAGTTTTTTGACAGAGGAATTCACTCTTGGGACAGTATTTTTTGCATTTTATAGATATTTATTGTCTGGAACCATGTGTAAACTCTATATTTAACAGCTCTAAACATATTATCCTCATACTGGTACTACATGCTATCTAAAATTAAGAGTGGCAGACATTCAGATGCTTACTTACTGGCATCTGCAGAATTAAGTCAGTCTAATGGCAATGCTTTAAAAAAAGAATAGATTAATTACTTTTAGCTTTTATTTAGATACAGAAAAGTGAGCACATAGCAACCTATGTAAACAAATAGAAACATCCTTTAGCAACAGGCAGCTAATTCAAATTAACAGGCAAGTAAGTTACACCTTCAAGTGAGTTTTAGAAACACACACATTCACACATTGGACAAAGTAGCCAACGTCCCAGATATAATTAGGACTGAGGGGCTACAGTATGAAATCAGAGAATATGTGACCATGCATGAGTTATATTTAACAAGTCATATCTATGTTCAACAGAGCTCTTGACAGCAGTGAGACAAATTGTGTCAGAAAATAGCCTAATTGTTTTAGAGGGGGTACAAAAAAATCTTCCTTTGTGTGTTGAACAATGAGCTGGGCATAAATCTGCCCAACAGGCTGCTCATGTTTTACACACTTGACTTGCTTGTGGTAGAAGTTCTTGCAAGTTTTTCAGCTTCAAATCAAAGGTGTAAACAAAATTAGGGGACCTAACATGCCCTTTTTTTAAAATGTCTTTTTTTTTTTTTTTTTTTAAAGATAAAGAGGACGAGCACCACGATCTTCTAAACCCAACCCATGGTCGATATATTAGAAGTGTTGGTAGGTTTCTATAGCTTCTAATGTCCCCAGTTTTAGTCTTCATTTTTCTCTACATCGTACTTTCATAATTCTTATGCTATTGTTGTTTTTTTTTTTCTCTCTTGTGTCCTAAAAGTGGAACCACAGGTTGCTCAGCAGGCAGTATGTAAAGTCAGAACAGAGGTGATGGAAATAACAAGATCCATGCTGGATCGTAACAACGCTCACTTTATGCTGTGGCCTCCATGTGTGGAAGTGCAGCGATGTTCAGGCTGCTGCAACTCAGATCAGCTGCAGTGTGTTGCCACTGTCACCTCCAGAAGATATCTAAAGGTACACATTCTATCCAGCTGTCTTTAAAATATAAAAACTGCCATGAAACAACAAAAAATGTGTCTATGTATATATAATTAAAACTAAAACTCCTGTCTTATTGTTTTCTGTTCGTGCATGTTTGCTACATTTTATACTGGCTTACTGAGATGCATGTATACAAAGAAGAATATAGGGCTGAAACAATCAGATTAATCCTAATTAATCAATTATTTAAAATAATCATCAACTATTTTGGTAACCGATTAATTGTTAACTGGAGTGTAGAGACTACAACATGCCTTTAGCTGACAGAGCCACCAAATAAGAGCAGTAATATTATTATAATTATAACACATCGTATCAATCTCAATGATGCAGTGGATAACACTGCTGCCTTGCAGCAAGAAGGTTCTGGGTTCGATTCCCGGCCCGTGGTCTCTCTGCATATAGTTTCCATGTTCTCCCGAGCATGCGTGGGTTCTCTCGCGGTACTCCAGCTAAATTCTCCTTAGGTGTGAGTGTGTGCGTGAATGGTTGTTTGTCCTGTTTGTTTCCCTGCAATGGACTGGGTGTACCCTGCTTCTCGGCCGTAGATCCGAAAAATAATCGACATCTTAATAGATTATATTAATAAATAATAGTTGCAGCTCTACTAGAATGTAAAATAAGTTCCTTAGAACATCAAATCCTGTTTTGTTGTGTGTTGCTTTTGCATGTACTTTGTTCTGAATAGTTTGCATTGGAATCAAGAGCTTAGATTTCAATATTTTGCTGAAAAAGAACATGGTACATTTCTTTAATTTCAAAATTGACATTTTTGTGCTCTATATGACTCCAAATGATCAGTTTTCGATACATAGGGAGCGAAAATAATCAAAAAGTAGGACAACTTGCCTAAATTTGAAGAATTTGAAGCACCCTTTATATTGAGTTGATTTAATCCTGATCAGCACAGAAACAGAAGGGGAAACACTGCAAGTTTGTATAAAAGTTATTCTTTTTAATCACTGCTTGGGATGAGCTTGAGGCTGAGAGGACAAAGAAATGTTATATTTTGTGACCAACAGTAAACCTACCATTAAAAATGTTAACCTTTATAGTTATCATCATAGCAAAATTGTGAAATTGCTTTGTGGGAAAATCAGGAAAGAAACAATACTTGTGCAGCAGTGCACAAGTTGGGGCACCAGGTCCTCCTACATACAGAGTCATAATCATCCTTGATTCTTAATGTTACCTTAAACCCAAATGGTTTATGGTAACATTAAGCATTATGGAGCAAATAATTCTAACACTTAATTATGAAGCTTCAGCCTACAGCCCGAGATTTCTACTGCTGATCGAAACTGTATCATCGAGCTGAAACTGTATTAAGGACATCATAAGGACAAAAATGAATAAATAAATAAAGGAAAACAACAGTTCACTTGTTAATCATGAGTGGCCTGCTCTGTTTCTTCGAAGCGGTTGCTAAGCAACCTCCAAATGTTTACTTCTCTTTGCTGGGAAACTCAGCATTAGACAACAATAATGCAGTTTATGTGTAAATTACTACTCATTGCACCAAATTATAGAATTTGCAAGGAGGAAGGCACCTTTCGATCATTTAATGTTTTATATTTTTTCTGACCTAATAGGCCTTTTTAATTCAGCAAGATAGTTTTGTATTTAAAAGCAGTTTGAAATGCAACTGTCTTTGCTCTTTGGAATATTATGCTGGATATTGTTGTCATGAAAACCAGCTGATTTTACAAGACTATTTTCGATTCCTATTAGGACTTTTAAATTGTAATTATATGCTTAGAAGTCTTTTGGCACTTTCTGGCATTACTTTTATTTTCATTTTTTTTGTAAACAGACTTATGACAGATTTCTGTCTAAATTGATCACATAAGGCAAGGGTGGGCAGCTCCAGTTCTCGAGGGCCGCTATATTGACCCTTTTCGATTTGGCCTTGTTCCAACACACATAAACCAAATGGCTGAATTATCTCCTCTCTATGGAGTCAACTTCTCCGGATTCCTGCTAATCATTTAAATTCTTGATTTGCGTGTGTTGGACCAGGGACAGATCTAAAAGTTTCAACATAGTGGCCCTCCAGGACTGGAGTTACTCACTTCTGGTATCAGTCATATAAACAACTAGATGTCACAAGACTGATCAAAGCACTCTGTTGCAGTTTTATGATTTTTCTATAAATGATTAATCTGCTTGCAATGGCAGTTTGAATCAGTCTGTCAGTTGTGTGTTTTGAAACGTTAAGAACAGGAATCTCAGCTTTTCTTTCTTGTGAATGTGAGGAGTAAAACAGGTTCTGACAAGCAGTCTGTTTATTTTAATGGAATCAGATGTTGACAATTAAGTAAGCTTTTAAGTAAGATACACTCTAAATGTTTTTCTATATTCACTAGCCCCTTTATTAGGCAGACCAAGCTACTACCAAGTTGGACCTAAAATATTTATTAACCACCCAAGTAATTGTTAAAAAGATAAAGATGCACAGCCCATTTTGTTTCTGATCCTATCCGTTACCTGGGCTGAGCGTATGAAATGATATCCGATACCAATCCAATTCAACTGTTGAATGAATGAACCATATTTTGCCATGTTCAGTAAATGCTTTAGCCTTGACAAGAATATTGTTAAAAAAGCTAAAAAATTAATACTGATGTAGTTGTACATTATATTATGTGTCAAAGAATAAGCAGCAAAAAGAAAGGAATAACAGTAACATTTAAAGTGCACTGGATTTGACCTCCCAATATCATATTACCAATATCCGATCAAACTAATTAGTCAATACTTGTGCCAAAATCCAACCCAGTTATCAGATTGTAGCTTCTCTAGAAATATGATTTTTAATACATTTCTTAGTGCGTTAGCTGTTTCTAAAAATACTGCGACCAGCCGGGCTGCAAATACAACATTGAAGATGGTGAAGTCACCGTTTTTTTTTTTTTTTTCATTTTTATGCAGAATTTGCTCCTTGGCAAGACGTTTTCACCATGCCCAGATTCCTTGGTTTTTTTCTATTGCTTTGTGGCTGATTGGTTGATTATTGTAATATTGACAAGAAGCTCAACTGACAGATTTACTAAAGGAGTTGACGGATGTAAAGTATTATGCAGCATCTTGAGAAAACTAAAATGTTAGTTTTTGAATTAAACAAATTATTTAATTGAACAATTAAATGCATCATCACATATTTATAAAAAATTGTTTTCTTATTTGGTTATTTATCTGTTTTTTACAGGTGTTAAAGATCCAGTATAAAAACCGGAAATCTCAGTTTGAGAATGTCGTCATCCCAGTGGAAGATCATGTTAGTTGTTCTTGCCAGCGATCTCCTCCATCATCATCGTCTTCTTCCTCATCAGCTGCCTTTGTCTCTCAACCAAACCCTCTTGCACCTCCACCACAAAAACCACCTGCATCCTCCAACCTACCCCTGTCCCCACCCCGCACCCCTCATGCACTTCCACCAAAGACTCAAACTTCCAAGGCGGACCTGCATCGCCTCGATGATCTAAAGCACAATCAGCATCACCACCTTCCACATGAGCGCGATCCGTTGGCGAGACAATGGCAGCAGGGCAGTTACACTCAACTGGTGCGCTGGACGCAGCCTAGAGTGCATCAAGCCCCCACACATGTGCACACTGGAGTGCACCACACAACGGCAGGGTTTCAAAGCTTGGTGGGTACCAGGCCGTCTGAGGCAACGGCAAAGCACACCATTATGGGAAGCCCACAACAAGTCGGACATGGAAGCGGCTTAGACAAGAGCCAGGAGGAGACTGGTGAGGAAATCCCCCATCATGATCATGAACAGCGGCAACAGCAATTGTTAAAGCACCAGCAAAGGCAGGAGCATCAATATCTTCCACACCCACCCTACCCACAACAATACACCCCTGGAGATGAGGACCAGGAGCTAAGGGCGCAGTATCTGCTTCATGCTCCCCAGTCAGACAGTTCTCTTTCAAAGGTCAGCATAACACAGGCCCCCAAGACAGTACAAGATCCTACATTTTTCACATCTGTTACTCAAAAAGACTCAATAACCAACCAAAAATATACAAAGGAAATTCCTCACGAACTCATAGAGACCAAAGGAGATGGTCAAAAAGAGGGGACTGAGATGTTAGCTAAAAGCAGGACCTCATCTCAGACAGAGACAACCAATCACAAGCAAGAGAAAGACTCTAATCTGAATGAGGAGACTGGCCATTTAACAGAGCAGGAGAGGAGACAGAGGCTGCTGGAGATAGTACAGAGTGAGCCGGAAAAAACGCCTGTTCTGCATGCTCACCAAAGACCAAAACCAACAACATTTAATTCAGGTAAAACTTCTGTGTTATTGAATATAATTGAAACACTTGTGGTGTTTTTGTTTTGAATGTCTTACTTACTTAGCACATAGCTGGGGAAAATTCAAACATAAGCCACAACAATGTGAGACTGAGAAAGTAACATCTTGACTTATCGGGTCATTTATGACTAATCACATGTTGTGATAACAGACACACTCATTGTAATAACACTGCATGATATATTGCATGTTTTATGATGTGAAAGAAAATGATGCATGCTTTGTTCACAAATGTCACTTATAATGGGAAAAAAAAGCCTTTCCATCAGACATACCATTCTACATGTTGAACAAAAAAATCTATTTTGATTTGATCTGACCACCACATCCCCCTGCTTCCCTCTTGCCGTGTCCACTGAATAGCATTTTTAAACTTTGTTTTAATAATGGATTTCATTTTGCAACTCTTCCATAACGGGTTGATTTGTGGAAAAATCAAGCCAGGGCAGTCCTCTGAAATGTTTGAAACTAAGGACAAAAATAAAAAGTCCTTATTAAGATGGTGACTTGCATAGGAAGCTGGTGGCAATGATTTATGTTGTTTTTTTATGTAGAGGCATCAGATCAAAAAATGGTAAATACAAATACATGTTTTTATTTATTTTATTTGAGTCAGAACATAATTAGAAATGATCTATAGTATAGGTGCATGACTGATTAGTTTTGAACCAAATGTTCATAACTTGTTTTCAGTCAGATATGCTCTGGCAGAGTCATCCATAGGTGTGCTTCTCTGACTGACGCCACCATTTGGCTTAATTTAGTTCTACATCTTTGATCATCACAGTCCCCTCTTGATGATGCTCTGGTGCTTATTCCGCTGTAATGTTTTTTATTGCTAAAACTATTTAAAGAAGGAGAGGTAAGCCCATTTAGTACTTTGAAAATATCCATGCAGGAACATATGATAACTTTTAAAATCTAAAAGTTGACACTTTCGTAAAATGTTACATTAATGATAGTTTATAGGCTTTCCATCTAAAACAATAAAGGTTTTCCTAGACAAAGATTTTAGGAGCTTCATTTTGCTATCAGTTGTCTGAGACCAGGTAAAACAGTAGTTTAAAGGTATAGTGGAGGATTTTCGCAAATTTTTTAAAAGACCCGCCCTCTCCACTTTAAAAAAAAAATGCACATGCACAACCCTGTACCGGCTCCCAATAGGGAACGCCTATTAAACGTGTGCGAGAGCGTGCACGAGCCCATTTCTCCTCGTGCACGCTCTGTTTAAAAGTTGCATCACTCATACAAGCTTACTTTCCAAAATAAGATTTGCAATTTTTCCACTGTCAGAATCACCACCGGTAAGTTAAAATGAGGAGGAGAAGGTATCACCAGAATGATTGACAATTAGGAGGACCACTTATTTTGATAATCCAACTGGAAAAGAAACATCCTTCACTATACCTTTAATTGTCATACTATCGTAATAGTCCAAATAAGCCTTTGCCACATCTACAGTTCCGTAGACATGGCCTTATGTGTTTAACAGTTTGATAGGCTAAATTTAAATGATTTCGGAAATTTTATTTACTTGGTCTCTAAAGACTTGACATGAATCAAAGACTACCCCAGAATACTTAAAGATGTCTACAACTTGTAAGCATTCTCCATTCACCAAAACAGTCGTTTTTCACCACCTGTTGACAAGAACATACCAAGTTGTTTCGTTTGTATTAAGATGAAGGCAGGGGTTTTACGGCCGTTGAGACGATGGCACCATCGCTCCAGATGTAACTGAAGAAGCCTCACATTTTTTTCTTAGTTGAATATGCATATAGTTGAATATGTATATTTTTTTAGACATTGAGAAGGTTGTTAAAATATACATTAAATAAGAAGAGCCCTGTTGCTGGCTTAGTTGTTAGGCCTCTGTTTTATTTACAGACACAATTGCCTCAATAAATACTAGATTAATCCTGGTTTTTCTTTTCTTTAAAACAAAAAATTAAGCAACGAAATAATAAAAAAACTTGCAATCATACTTAGTTGCACCCTGCTGGGCGGCATCATTAATGATGTGATTCTCCTCCGACATTGAGGAAGAATAACTGCGTAACTGTATCCAGCAGATAGCTATCTTATTTTACTCAATGGGTTAAAAATCTATCATTAATTTGAACTATTCAGGTAACAAACTATTCTGTAAAAAACGATTAGGGGGGGAAACTTGGTCATGGTATTGGATGCTTTCTCCCTCTCTCCTCTTTCTCCTTCCTTTCCGTTCCTTTTTGAAATCCAGACTTTGGGGCACTGCATTTTTCAGCCACAGAAGTTTTTACCACACTGTTACTTATTTACACATTTTATTGTTAATTTCCTTCTTCCGTTATCACTATGTCAAATGACGTGCACGTGTCATTTAAGCTCCGGTACGAGCAAACTCCCGTAGACAGACTGGGAGACCTGATGCGATGCAGCCAGTAGCAACCCGAGGATTAAACAATTTTTTGCAATTTCAGGGGAGGGGGGTGTTAATAAATTCATGCTTTGTTTCACTGTTTATGGCTGAAAAATGGGGGAGAACATGAAGAAAAATGTATTTTACTGTTGGATTTTCTTTTTACATTTGAAGACTATCGTGGGACAAATCATTTCTTCTTCTTTGTGCCCTGCCTCAGTCAAGGGCCCTTAGAATCATCCTAACTTTCCCCCCCAATATGGCGCCCCTGGGTTTATCTCTTGTAATTTTCCAATGTTGATGGCATTATACCTTGTTTTATTGATAACTTGACCACATGTGGAAATGGACTTGCAAAGGCATCTTTGTATAACTTTATTAAAGGATTGATTAATTGACTTAATTGATCTCACAGTGGAGAAATGTACTCGTTATATCAGCTGAATAGTCAAAAAGAAGAAGGTGCCAAATATATATATTCACAGACTAAACGTATCTTTGGCGCTTGAGTTTTTTATAGTTGATATTATTCTTAAAACATTAGAAATTGATATTTTATTGACATTGTATCAGTGGAATGTCTGAAGATTTTAATTTCTGTGTCATCTCTTCAGCTGAGTTCTTAAAAAAGTAATTAAAGCCATAAACAATGACATTTAATTCATTAGTTATAGTATTGTTTGTGTGAAGCTTTGTATCCCATTAATGTTAAAAAATATTTGCTTTTCAAGTTATCTATAAAAAAGCGGAAAATAAACAAAACACCGTCGTTTTTTATATGCAGAGTACGAATTGCCATATCGTCATTATCATAATGAAAAAGAGTAGCTCATCAAATCTCACTGAATAGGTTTTTCACTGATTGTTTTAAGCAAGTTACTTCCCTAATTTAACACTGGTATTGAATATCTGTTAGACATTAGATTAAAATCTTAGTTTGTGACACAACTCACTCATTTAGTTTATCTAGCCAGATGAAGTGTTCTCTACATGGTTGAATAAACAACTACACAACGGCTTATCCAACGACTTGCCCAAATTTTGTTCTGCTTTCAAAGCTCAGACTCAAACCTGAATGTAAGCACAGTCTCAGGTTAGCAGGTTTTATCTCCCTTTAGGGCATGGTTGGTGAAATTTCAAAATAAGCATTCATTCCTCCCCTGTTTTCTCTTTTTTATTTTAATTTTTTCACTTATCTTTTGCAAAACTTAAAGAAAAGCTGGTTGTCAAGACATGTCAGGGCAATGTTGCTTTACACAAAGGATTTCTCAAGATGGTTTAAAGTGAAAGTTTAAAGTGAATCATGCATTTGGAATTACTTCTTGAGAAATCCTATATGCACGATTTACTTTATTCAATTCACTTATTTCGCTTTAAACCAACTTGTTCTTCAGGATTTTGCTAGCTGCCTTTCTCTTTAACGTGCCGTTAATTTGCATTTTTTATTTGTTATTGGCAGCTGTTGATGTGGTACTGGGCAAATACCTATCTACACCTCAGCTCCCTTTTGTAAGAGACTGGATGAATGATGCTTTACTGAAGTGCTTTGACTGCTCAGTCTGACTGAAACAGAGCTATTCTATTTAATTTCATTCACCATTTTAAAAGTCTTAAAATTCATACATCTTATTTGCTTTCATGTTCATTTACTATGTCAATAGTAAATTGTTTGTTTTTAGTCTTAAAATGTAAATATAACAATCTTTTATTTATTAATGATTTACTATGAATGGCTCACTGTATCCATAGAGTACATATATATGGTTTGATGGATGACATCTTTTTATAACAAAGACCATTAGAGTTAAAAAGGAATCTTTAATAGCCATTAAATTAGTTGGGAGCCAAAAATGTGTAATTCTGGGGTTTTTCAGTAAGATACTACTGAACATAAGGCCAAATACACACTTGCAGTAGCAATCAAATCAGTCTTCTTCAACCATCCCAGTTCCCTCACAAAAAGGGTTGAACTGAAGAGAAGAGAATGTAAAACTCTTGAAATGAAATTACACAGGAGAAGACATCGGTTTTCAATAAATATGGAGGACTTTTCAGTCTGATGTACTGTATTATACTCTTTATTCAATGTCAGTGAAGGATTCAGATTTTAGCTTTTAAAGCTCCTTTAAAACAAATTACCATTTATTTATATGTCATGAGAAGATGTGACTAATCCTGTCCTTTTTTCTGCAGTTCTTTCCACGGTAGCGCCGATGTCAACAGCAGGTCGTCAGGTACCGTTCCGACCTGCCTTTCCTCGTCGCCGAAAAAGAAAACACCGCAAACGTATCAGCAAAGCTGCTATGAGGGCTATGATCATGTAGAGATGAAGGTATGAAATGTAGAAAACGTACAGCAATTAAAGAATATGTTTTTGTTTGTTACTTGCTCATATTTCCGATATACAGTCCATACCTATTTTCTTTTTATTTATCTTTTTAGATAAGATAGTTTATTAGATTTGGATAACATTGTTAAATCATACCAGAAATCTAGGGAAAGATTTTACATTCTTGTGTGAATAATCGATGTACTGTTTGAATGCTGACTGTATTAATTGATACTTTAAAATGCTGGAGACATTTGTATTTTTCAAAAATATATGGTAGAGTCAGTTGCTGATGGGCAAAAGCTATTTAAAACTGTGGACAAGAAGTGTGGAAAACATAATTTAAAGTTAATTAGTTAGTCCTTAGAAAAAGTAAACTCAATCTAAATATGTATCAGTAGTTCAAAGATGTGCAAAATCTGGAGTTTAAAAATAGACTACATCATTATTTTTGGTTCATCTCTTAAAATGTTAAGTACCAGAGAGTGAAAAAAATGGAATAACTAAGTTTGCATGCTCAAAATGTTCCTCTTTTCTTTCTCCAACAGGAAGTGGTGCTGCACAATAAAATATTCTGAAACACTTCTCCACCTGACGATAGAGATGACGGAGTTGTTTCCTGAAGGCAGAGCTGCTGTTTTAAGTAATCTGCCCTGCAGAAAGTCACCTTTCCAACTCTGTAGATGCTACCCTGTATCCATCTGTTTGGATGTAATAAGTGCAATCTCAAACTAAGAGAGACTTTGACACACTAAACACTGGTTTTGTGTCATTTAAAGCACAAGTGGAACTAAATGAGGATTATTTGAAAACTGCTTAAAGAAAGCAAGACAAGATGCAGCTGTTGACTGGCTACTTTTAACATATTGCTTTCTGCTCAGAATGGACATTGAATTGCTTTTGGGCTCAACATGGAGTTTGAAATATAACAGACCAGTAGAACTGGATTTCTACACTGGGATGGTGACTGGAAACTGTAACCTCCAGCTTGGCCTCAGTGCCAAAGATGACTGTTTCGCTTAAATGTTTGAGTTTAACATAATGTAACACTGGAGTAGTCGCACACTGATCATAGTACACTGACTTTAAATACTACTATGTACTGTAGTTAAATGTACAAGAAAATATCAGTAACCATTCTTTACTACTGCCTGACAAAATGAAATGGAATAATAACAAAACGCCTGCTTTAATAACATGTTATGAATATCCAGAAGTCTTAAAGACATGGCTTTTAGAGACTGTTGTGAGCCAGTTATAGATAAAGCTACACTGTAAAAAAAAAAACTTATAAGAAAACAATTTCCTGGTGAAAGAGAAAAAAAAAAGTATTTCTTAAGTTATTAAAAAAATTGAGGATATGAAGTCCTATGTTTATCAAGTGTGATTATTGTTGCAGACATGTAATGTTATATTTGGGTGTACAACTGTAATGAATGTTATTTTTCATAGAAAATAAAAAAAGAAAGTTCAAGGAATACTGTAGTGTTTTTTTTTTTTTTGTATTTGTTTTTTTGTGAAGGTTTGTGGAAATGAGGAAAAGGCAAGCACTAATGATTCAAGCTCATGTACTGTTATGCTTACATTAGTTCACTTACTTTGCACATTAGATTCATCATGTTGCACCAAGATGTGAAGCAAAAAAGGGATCAGCCAAGTTTCTGGTTGCTATAGGCACTCATGGATGGACATGTCAACAGAGGAGTATCAAATGCTTGAAAAGGAGGCAGAGAGGGAGGGTGTCAGTCAGGAATGATGAGATGATGAATGACTGAGAGGGTGAGAGCATACTAAGGGTCCTAACGCGGGTCCCAAGACATGACAGAGAAATTATGAGACCTGATCCACATAAAGCTGGAAAACATAAGTTTTAGGTTTTAATTATACTCAATGTGTTTGTCAGACTTTTAAAATAATTTACAAACCAGTCCCTCAATTCAATCTGAGCTAATGCTTATAGCTAATACTGATTTAAAAATATAGTTTTTAAATCAACGTGTTTGATGGTGGTATGTGGGTTTAAAGGGCACTAAACTAGGAAGGTGGCAGGCAAGCACAAAAGAATTTGTAGCTTTTATAAAACCAAAAATTGTGAACTTGAATAGGGAAACCAAGCAACAAGATCAAGATAGTGTGCAACAGATGAATCCAGAAAGAAGTTAATTAAAAAAAACTGGAGGAGTAGAAGCTGAGGAGCAGGGCTAGATGGAACAAGGCAGAAGTAACATTCGTTTACTGGAATGTGTCATGACTTTTATGGAAGCATGCCTGTTGAATCTAAGGGAAATTTAGAAATTCATACGGAGTGAATTCAAAGGAAACAAGAGCTTCAGGGAAATTAAAACATGGGAAAAAAGTAAGTTTAACCAAAAAACTAAGGTGAATGAATCACATAAACTTAAGATGAAAAAAAAAATAATAACACGAAACAAAAACTAAATATCAAAATGATTAACTATTCTCCAAGTCTAAAGGATTAAGATATGGTCAAGCTTTAATGTTAAATCACATAAACATATTTTTATTCCATGAATCTGGTAACTAAAGCATGATAATATTGTTTAAAAAATATGTTTTAGAATAAAGAAGTGCAATTCAAACCATGTCTCCATGTTTTAAAAAATGTGTTCTAAAATTCTGAGGATTGGTGAATGAATGCAATTCAACTGTATTGTCAATGCACTGTCACATGTACAGAGGAAGGAAATGAACTCTCTGCATTTAACCCCTCCCCTTGGTGAGCAGTGGGCTACCAATGTGACGCGCCTGTGGAGCAGTGTGGGGTTAAAGGAATAGTACACCCAAAACATGATTAGCCTTCATTTTCTCCTCACCCCCATGCTGAACAACACTCTGGAGTACTTTTTTGATATCTCAAATGCATCTGGAGATCTGGGATGCTTCTTGCTGTCTGCTGATATTCAAATAATGGAGGTCTATTTTGCCCGAGACAGAAAGGTCCATAAAAGTCCACAAAAAACGTGTCAATATTCCTCCATACTGCTCGTCCAATGTATTCCAAGTGTCCTGAGTGGGTAGCATCCAGCGTCTGCTCTGCCGATAATGCAAGCGTAGAAGAAGAAATGTGCTGTTTACCTGTGCAAAGAAAGAAACAACGAAAGAAAAATGTCTGAGGACTTCAGTGTTGAGGAAGAGCATGAGTTCTTTGCCGAGCTGAATGCGCACTTTCATCCAGTTTGGTCTGCCGCGGTTTCCGTAGCGTCGTGAACGTGCGGGCGCGCGCTTTCAGGAAATCCTATACACTACTGTTTATGCTCTAAAAACATTCTAAATGACTTCGTTTCGAGTAAATTCTGGATGCTACCCACTCAGGACACTTGGAATACATTGGACGAGCAGTATGGAGGAATATTGACACGTTTTTGTGGACTTTTATGGACCTTTCTGTCTCGGTCACCATAGACCTCCATTATTTGAATGTCAGCAGACAGCAAGAAGTCTCCCACATCTCCAGATGCATTTGAGATATCAAAAAAGTACTCAAGAGTGTTGTTCAGCTTGGGGGTGAGTAGAAAATGAAGGCTAATCATGTTTTGGGTGTACTATTCCTTTAAGGGTCTTGCTCAGGGACCCAGAGTGTGTGGGACTTGAACTCAGAACCTCCTAGGCTGAAGCACAATGCTCTAACCACTAGGCCGGAAAACCTTATCCTAAACATGTTGGGGGAAAAAAAAAACATTTTCATGCAAACATTAGGCATAATTACTGACATATAAATGTTTAATATGTATCATTTAGTACATTAGTTTGCAAACGGGTATGAAGAAGATTTTCAATTATACCCCTGAACCTTTCCATAGTCTAAAACGGGTCACCAACGTAGTGCCCACAGGTACCAAAGCCCTGAAGGACCACATGGGGTGCCCTCTCCATCTTCTAACAAACAGCACAACTGAGCAGTGGGCTAAGTTTGAAATGTTTTTAAATCTGTTGTTCTTCTATCAGTTCAATGGTAGCTCTTCCAATGATTTAGTACCCATGAAGTACCTCTAAGCCTTGTAATGGTTGATAATCCCTTTTAGTGAGCAAATACATTTGTACATTGTTCAAGTCCATTTGAAGAAATAAACTAAACGTATTTGTAAATTGGCAGTGGAAAACAGATTATCTGTCCTCCACATGTTATTAGAATATTGTAATTTTTGTAATTAAAAAAGATGCTTTACACACAAACAAATAGAAAGTAGTAACATTCAAATAGCACTTTATAATAAAATTAAATAATTATAATGCATCAAATAAATAATTCTTTGGTCACGCAGTTACACAATGTACAGAGATGTTTGATTATTTGGCACTTAATGTTTTTTGCCATTGACCAAAAGGCATTGACCATACGTATATGGCTGCTAATTACAAAACACAAAAAAGAGGCTGTAGACAAACGAACATCTCACCATGTTCTAATTCCCAGTCATTTAACTGTATGAGTTTAATATTATTAGTTTAAGAAATGAAAATAAGGCTGTGCTTATTTTTTCAGTACCTTCCCACCTTAAGATGTTCTTTTGTGGGCTGAGAAAAAATTTAACCACTTGCTGACATGACACCTTTTATATCTACAGGATAGCTGAAAAAACACCTTTTTAACAAATAAGACAAAATCATCTTTCTTTTTTTCAGACTGAAACAATACATTTATCTTCTACATTCTTTTCTTTGCTCTATTATAATATTTCTTCCTTTTTCTTTTTTTCTATTCAGTCTTGTTCTAATAAATCATAACTTCCTGGTCTGGTCCTGTTGTCTGTAGCGTAGGTGTAAGTTTTGGTGGTGTAATGAACCAAGGAAGGTGAGCCAAAGTTCAGACAGGTCAAAGAGGCTACGCTAACTCTCTGCTCCATATGCATTGTGATGATTAGTGTGAGTGGTTGTGCATGCACTGGTGAGTATTTGCACGTTGCTGCCAGCCACCCCTGTGGTGTCCCTCTGACAAGTGTGTGTGATTGTGTTCATGTGTTGTGAAACAAATGGAGAGAGTGTCTTTTGGCACTGTGAAGCTTAATAACAGTAGCTCAACAGCAGCTTAATAAGCTGTTAGCTGGCAGCCACTCATGGCCAGCGGCATCCTCCGCGGTCACACCATGGTGTCCAATGTAAACAGAGTGGTTGGTCCTCATACATTTTACACAAACTTGAGAAGATTAATACACACACTTTTCAGAAAGGTCACAGTAGCCAGAGCCTAGTTTAGCTGATCAACCCACAGATGACCTTGTGCATGTATGCCAAAATCAGAAACACAACTTTCTGGATCCCTACTATGTGTTCACATTTTTCTGAAGCCAAAACTGATTGAGGAAAACTATGACATGAATTTCCTGAGATTGATTCACTGTGAGTTTTGAACATTTGTACAGGGATTAAACTTTTGACCCATCCTATCACCTATGTTTTACCTGTTAGGTGAGGCAGTTGTAGTTGCTTGGCATAAGTGTTAGGTGGAGATGTTTGAGGAAATGTTATTACCCTTCCTTTTCCAAGAATCTTCAATGGTACTTGGTAAGTTTGCTTTGATGCATGATGGACTGATACCTCTAGCTCAGCTGACAGTCGGTGATGGGTACCAGTCTTATCAGGAAGCTGCAAAGATCAAATTGATCTATGGACAGTTTCTCTAGAAAAATTTAAATTTTTATAAACGAGCAAAGCAGAGAAACAGGAAGTAGATGATATCACTTTATTATTTTTAGAATGTGAGAGGAAGACAAAGAAAACCACACAATTTCCAATCATAAGGGCCTCTGAATTTGAGATCCAGCCTGGTAGTTTTAAATGGTTAGTAATTATTATTATCTGAAGAGTCACTCATATTTCAACCCAACTCAGGTAAAAAAATATTAATCCCCAAGGGAAATTAAATATTGCAGTAACTCATAGTGTTTT